CATCTTTGCTTATATGTTTTACACCTATTCAGTCACACCCTATATATGATTACAAAAAGGCAGCAACGTAGAATTCTGAAATATGCAACATTGCCTACCTACCTACTGAGTTTTAGTTCAACATTATCAACAATAATAGCAAAACAAAAATAATTGTTCCCATTTTCAGTGAAAGTTTTGCACACAAATGTGGAAGAATAATCTTTATTATTTCGAAATGATTAATGTGATTTTCATTACATCATTTCTGAAAGTTCTGGTCATTCGTAATCGAATCGCATGCAAAACTCAGATGAACTTTGAAGGCTATTGTTGTTCGTAACGAGCAGTTCGACCATGAAATTTTCTTTAATTTCACTTCGAAGAATATATTTATGGTACTCGAAATTTCTTATCGTTGAGAATGAAATGTATGGTTGGCATGCTTTGCGGTAACTAGAGTAGTTAGGTAATGAGTCATCATTTACTTTTAAATCAGTCAGGGTAGTAGTCCTCAACTTATCAAAGCAAACTCTGATTCTATCTGATTGCAACAACTGCGAACGCAAAAACATTACACTAGTACAGCACAACGGATAGATCTTTGTGGGTTGTTCGTGGTCAGTGAAGCCGCTACAGCCGACGTTGGTTATAAGGCCTTAAAGCTGAGTGCAACTCTCTATCAGGCTTAGGGAACTTCTACTGCTCCATTTCTCAACCCCTCTCGAGATATATTCACTCAAATAGTTTGAAAGGAAAGAGGAAAGAAATTCTACTCTTTTGCTTTCAATAACAACAACAATCTACCTTATACTAATTATGAAATAAACAATAAGAGTAAAGGCCAACGAACAAAGGCTCACTCAGCTGTTAGGATGATCAGGCAGCCAAAACCTTCATTTACCCAATTCATCGAACCAGCTTCTTGTTCGTTCATCTCTCACCACGATATTCGAAAATTCGTTGACGAAGGCGATCCATTCTCTATCAATACCATTCACGCCTCATTATCTACCCGCCCACTTCTATTTCTCCCTTCCATTTTCTCCAGCCAACTATCTCTTACACTGACGTAGAAAAATAAATGGACTCAGTTATTTACCTCATTAAATGAAGCCGTTAAATAGGAGCATTCTAAGATCACGATGTGGATATGGACGTTGCCATATTGAATCAGTGATAATTCTTTAATATCACCAATGCTGTGCGGAACTTCAAAACTAACAAATTACATTCAACAGCATGAAATTATGACCTCTATCATGAGGTTAAAATAGACATCAAACATTTCAGAACCTAAACCAGTGCCACATTCACTTCGAAAATATTTGTCATTACCATATAAATCGGCACAGTTCGTTACAAGTGAACTCGTGGCAACACTGTCGAATTTGTCGTTTGTGCATTTGCAAGTAATCCGATTATTCAGAAACTAAAATGCAGTAATAAAGATATGCAAGGAATTTGTAAGGACTTTCGATATTCTGCAAGGATTTTGGATATCTCTATATTGATATATTTAGTGAGAGAGAGAGAGAGAGAAAGGGAAAGAGAAACAGTTGATTGAATAGAATAATTACATCGGCGACAGGTTGGTATGCATTTTGTACAATTCCCATTGGCAACACTACTGCCTTGTTCTTTTTCCTCTTTTTTTATTTATCAATTTTCAACAGTTTTCTAAAAGAACAGACTTTTTCGAGTAATTATATTTATTTCGAATACAATAAAGTTTTCCTGTAATTGATATCGGAAATATCTATAATCTCTAACAATAATTGATGAATAGATCTCTGAAGTTTTCATAAGTATATAACATTTCGCATATTTTCGTTTACATTGCCCATATTGAATTTATTGCGTGCGCCACTGTCGTTGGAGGGTATGTCACAGTCTATCGCAAGATTCCTCCTTCCCCGTAACCCGCTCGCCACCGAACCGAGCGGCTTCAAAACATTCTGTGTTGAAGGTATTGGTTTGCCGAGTCCATTTATTTTTCTACGTCCATGATCTCTTATTCTAGGAGATAATCTTCTTTGCAATTTCAGGCTATCAGTTACAGCGTTTTTTGTTACTATTCCGATCGCATTTCCATTTTCCATTTCATTCAGGGGTCGAACCGGGTCCGAAATTTTCGGAAGACTCCGATATTTCGGTAAAGGTCCGAAATTATCGTATATTTTTGACATCATCCGAAAATTCCGAAAATCTACTCGGCGTAAATTTTTACCATGTGCTTATTAAATTTCGTAACATTACCAATAATCATTTATCAACTGGGTATGTTAGGTTAGTTGAATGGCCTGGAATAATAGTTTTTATATTTCCCGCCAAATATCGTGGCTCTAGTGCAAGAAACTTTACTTTGTAATGACCTGTGATATAATATACTTCTTTCTTCCTTTTGTGCAGCTGCCGAAAATGGACACGCCAATATTATTGAACTCCTTGCGGATAAGTTCAAAGCCAGCATACTTGAAAGAACCAAGGATGGATCAACGTTGATGCACATAGCGTCTTTGAATGGTCATGCAGATTGTGCAACGATGCTCTTCAAGAAGGGAGTTTACCTTCATATGCCGAATAAGGTGAGAAGGTTAAAATAAGAGAAAATTGACTATTTTAGAGATTATTTGAATGACGTTTTAAAATTGAAGACATTAGTAGTTCGGAAGGCATTCGAAAAGAAGAGAAGTTTGTTAAATCCTTTTTGAATTATTCCGGCGTTTTTCTTTAATACAGGGTGTTCCTTAAACATATGCTAATATTTAAGGAGGTAATTCTTAGACCCATTTTAAGGAAAAATCGTCCTATGGATGTATGTCCTAAACGCCTTAACTTTTGAGATACAGGGTGACAAAGTTTTCAAAAATAATCAGTTTTTTAATAATAACTGGGATAATTTTGTAGACATCTTTGGCATATTTGGTACATATGTTCCATGCCTCAAGGCGCATTTTCTGATGTACAATTTTCTTAATTTTCTCTGCCAGTGGCGTA